AGGTACGTTTTAAGTCTCAGGCACCATCTGAGGACAGATGGTTTAGTAAAAGAGAACTACTTGAAACTGCTATTGATATTGTTGTTGCTTATGAACGAGGGTTAAAGTTTTAAAGATTTCTGCGGTGGAACTCGAAAATGGGCCGGCAGGAATGCAGTAACCCTGTTCAAAAGCAGCCTGGGGCCCAGAACTCAGCCCCAGGCCACGCAGACCTGAGTCAGTCTGCACTGGGCTGTGTGACCAAGACACGCCCAGACCCGAGTCTGCTGCGTTTGGATGTGTGACCAAACGCTGCACACTGGAAATTCAAGGGTCAAAGTCAATTGTAGAGTCAAACGTACCGTGCCCAGGCCCTTGGTTGGATACACTCACTTGTTGTGCGCAGGTACCCAGACAACATCCAGGCCGGAGGGAATTCGGTTGCAGTCCAATCTGGGCCCTCGTTCACATTGAGATCTGGACGGCTGAGTGACGCAGCATCCGGGGTCCAGACCCCGTGTCAACGCTGCATATGCGCTGACCCCTTGGCTTTGACATTCATTCATTCTGTCTTGCGTTGACGTTGACTTCATGCGTTGACTACAACGCTGGCTCGACGCTGCTACGCTGGCTCGACGCTGGCTATGCCGGCATTGTGATTTCGGCAACACGCTGCTTGTTCGGCATGGTGGCTGGCTTGCATCTGTCTTCTTGGTATGCTTACGTGGCAGCTACCACGCCCTGTTGCTGATGTGGCCACTGCCACGTGTATACTGCTGATGTGGCAAGGCTACGGACGTGTATTGTTGTTCTGAAGATCGTCATCCTGGAGAAGATAGGACTGCGGAGGATCGTGATACGTAGCTGTTCTCTTCATGTCGACATTGCTCCAGCGCTGATAAGATTCTGATTAGATGTGCCACGTGGCACATTGTAGAAGGACTTCATTCAGACTATTGATTCTTGAGGTGTTGATTGAGGAGGGAGCCCGAAGTAGGAATGGGCGTTGTACTTTCCTCTCCCTTGTCTAATCTCCCTCCTCTCTCTTCGTCTCTGTATGATTTCCTCATCCCATTCTGTCTGGTTACGATTTTGATTGTTGGTAATCATCAGCGGCTCGATATTCTGGACTTGCATTGTTGACGAGTGTCTTCACGATCTGGGTTCATTGCAATACGGGGTTTCAGACGCTCAAGATACTGGAGGGGGACTGACTCAACTCGCAGGAGAGGGCCTTGATACCTTCAGGTGCCTGAGGGCCCCGCAATGGTGGCCAATAATTGTAGTAAAACAACCAAACTAAAGTCGAAGCGAAGAGTGACAACCCTCCGACAGTCTTCCCAATGGCAATAGTATTCTCTCGTATAGAGTCGGATTACTCCCCAAAGTCACGACGTTGTTTCCTCTTACCAGATCACCACTACGCAGCCGAAACGATTGTGTTTGAATACCACCCCCCCCCCCCCACCACCACCTTTATGTTCGAATGGCAAACAAAACGCACATTAAATAGCCAAAACCCCAACATACACAGCAAAAAGGCATAACAATGCTGCGTGTGCGGTAACCGCTCCTGCGGCGAGGTACGACGTGCTTAGCAGGGCAATGTCGTGCAGTGGAACGCGACAATATTGGCAGCAGAAAAAGGTACAACAACAATGAATACACAGTGGTGCTGCAATCCGGAAGCCCCCTTTCTCAGCAACACTTAGCAGCCTGTGAATCACAAGGCAATCTCAGCGGAGCGGTTGCGACCAGCGTACATGCAACTGCTACCATGATCGAGCACATCATCTCCCAGCAGTTGTGTCGCTTCCGCCAACCCCCCTTCCTTTTTAGCCGTCTCTCTCTCTCTCTCTCTCTCTCTCTCTCTCTCTCTCCCTCTATTGTTGTCGCAACTCTCGACTTCATGTTAGTCCCACTTCGGTTTTCACATTACATTATCCTCCTCCCAAGATCTTACGAAGAGCTTTCCACTGCTGCTCACCCATAAACCAGCTTCTCTTGTTCGTGTAGCAACGACCAGATCTAATATTGGAGAGAGAGAACAAACGCGTATCCGGTGAGAAATCCGATCAGCACGGCCATTGCTCTGCAAAGGTCTGAGGAATGTTTTCAGATAGTGCTAAGGGTAAACTTAAACAGAGAATTTATAAACTCGGCTCCAAAAATGATTGCAGTCAGATGCTTTCAGATCCGGCGGTAATTGCAGTAAGAGATTACGTGTGAATTCGCACTAAGAAGGTGAGCAGCGAGCAACCTCTAGACAGTAGTCAGTCATCGCCGGTGCTAACGAAACCAGGAATCAGTTGCGATATCTCCTGCCCTGCGATTGATCTTGCTCTACGTCAATCGTTATGGCGAGCAATTCCATATGAATCTCTCCCTATATCGAGGGAGATACGCCGCAGCTTTCAACCATACGCGCAGAGAGATAGGGAGGTGCTACTTCCATTTTCGTCCCGAGCATGCACCGACCAACAGGGTAGTCTCGAATCTCGCAGCTCCCTTCACGCCTCTTCCATCGCTAGAACGAGCAAATGTCAAATGAATCTTCCTCTGAAAAACGACATTATACATTGCAATTCTTCAGCCTGCTTGCCACGACGCAGCCCACGGGTCCCAAAGCACCCAATCCACCCTCTCATCATGGAATCTGCCTGCACCACCGAGCTCGCAATGTCCAATAACCCCCACCTTGCTTCCCCCCTCGCTCGTTTTCGTCGGGAAATGAGCGAGCTACACAACTCCTTCTGCCATATCCAGCATTCCGTCACCTCCACGTACACAGTTTTTTTCCTAACTCAAATCGTATCCACCTAACTTCAAATCTATCCACACCGTCGAATTCTCAGCGCTAAAAAACCTTTGTTGCGTATCTTAGTTCGCCCGATTCTATCAGGAATCGAGCGAGCTGTGTGATCTATCGTCTGCCACACCCGTTGCTCCACAGCTCCACGCACGCTTTTTCCTTCGTCCTCCTTTTTCTGCTGACTTTTAACTAAAACTAACATTGGATTTGAATTCGCCCTACTGCCTGATTCCGGTAGGAGATGCGGAAGTTACGACCTCTTCCTTCCGCCATACTCACCTTCCTCTCTGCTCCGCCCTCTCCTTCTGCCAATGCACCTGGCACGAACCCGCTCCCATGTTCATTCACCACCTTTTTACCTCTCGTGCCTTCTCATCTTTTCTCTGTCCTCTTTTGCCTTCCTCACTACCTCTTCTTCCGAATGCATCCGGTGTGGCTCGGCGTCCAGATTCAGCCAGTTTCTGCTGGGCTCATTCCCTGTTCTAACACTTCATTTCTTTCCTTTCTTCCACCACCCGTCGCTCGTCTTCTGCCGCAACTGTGCGCTCTTGTTTGTGCTAACTGCGAGCCAACCCATACGGGCTCTACTCAATACAGGCAGCTGGTCATTGGTCATGGAGCCGAAATCCGTTGTGGAGTGCGTCCCAACTTACCTGCCGAATTCATCAGTCTCGAACAGGACGACGTTGAAGCTCGCTCTGCCTATGCTCGACCGTCATAGTGACTCCGACGTCTTTAGCGAGTGGGTGGGCGCTGGCCTTGCTGCTACCCTGTAGCCTGAGCCTAGGCGAAGCGGATCCCAGTGCAGATTTTGGCGGTAGTAGCAAAAATTTCCAAATTAGAACTCGGAAACCGGAGTGGGGCGGGTTCCGTGAGAACAGCCGCGGCAGCCAGCGCTGCTGCCGCCTCTGCCTGGTGGCCCCTCGTGGGACCTAGTGGGCATGCACACACTCAAAACCTCTCATAGCAAATCGTGGTCGGCGGACGGTGCACCTGCAGCGATCCCCGCCACCCTCGGGCTGCAGTCCCACAGGCGTGCTCGGAATGTTCTCCAATTCCTTTCCACTCTTAGGCTATGTTGCACGCTGGCCGCGGCCAAGTTCGGCCCAGGCCGCGGCCGGTGGCCTAGGCCGGGACCCCCCCCGCCGAGTTTTTTCAGCCTCGGTGTCGGTCGATCTGGGGGGCGGTTTTCGAAGCGGGGAGCGGGTTTGGGGTGGGGGGGTAGGGGGGCACCCCCTCAAAGTGACAGGGCGTCAAAAAAAAAAAAAAACGGGGGGGTCCTGCACAAGACCCTGGAAGTGTGGCCCGTGAAAAATCCAGCGGCCCCCGTGTGCAGGTTCGTCGATGCGGGGTCGCAGGGAGGAGGGTCTGGAACAGTGGAAAAAAAAATATATATATATATTTGACCCCTGCGGGGGCGGCCCAAAGTGGGTTGGATGAGGGCCTGGTTGGGGCAGGCCGTGCGGCCAGACCGGGTCGAAGCTAGACGGGGCTGCAGATGGCAGACCCCAGGCGGATCAGGGCCTCACGCACTGAAAGGTAGGCGTCGGTTTCATTAATGAGGGCGATGACAGTTCGTGGCTTATTTTAAAACAACACATTCATGGCAAATTTGGCAATCATAAGTCAGACCCTGTTTGGCATACCAATGTCAAAACACGTTGAAAATCAATCACAGTGCGGCGAACCACAAGTTTCAAACAATGACAACAGGCAAGTGTGTCATAGTGTGTATTCACTCAGGAGACTGATGGACATTCATTAGCACAGCATTTATGTAAGAACACATTCGTTAGCACGTCATCCCTATGTCGCATCTGAAATTAACAACACATTCATAACGGAGGCATCCATGACATGCACGTGCGTGGCATCGGAGAAGCACATAATTTGCAACAATCACGACAAGAGAGCAGAAAACAATCACCAAACAACAGCGACTCAGATGCAAGACCAATGTTGGCGGAGGAACAAGAACAAGAGCAAATATATGACAAAGCATTTCAACATTTCAATGGAAATGCGTATGTACAAGGCTGAAGCCAAAAATTGCACCCGTAGTCTCTACTGTACAACCGAGTAGCAAAAAAACAATGGACCCATCGTCTCTGCTACACAACAGAGTAGCAAAAAAAAATTGGACCCGTCGACAGCCGTCGTCTCTACTGTACTACAGAGTAGCAAAAAAAAAACAAAAAAAACCCTAATGTCCACATACTGTCGTCATCTCCATGGAACAACATCGACATAAATATGCAACAACCCTGCCGACAGAGCGTCCAGGCTGTACAGCCACGCGAAAAAAAAAAAAAAACTAATGAAAAAAAAAAAAAAACACCACGGACGTCGTCATCTCCCACTAGAGCGCGCGCGGCCTCTCCCGGAGGACGTGCGGCCATGCGGTCCTCCCCGGCGCCCTCCTCTCCCTCCGGCACCTGTGCCCCGTGCACCGCTGACGTATGCCGCATGTGCTGCAGCGGCCGCCGCGGCCACCTGTGCCCTGTGTCTGCGGGCCGCAGTCTCGATCGGCTCGGACTCAGTGTCTGCGTCCTCGTCCTCCTCCGCCTGTGCAGCAATCCCCCTCTCTCTCTCCCTCTGAATCGCGTCCAATGCTGCCTGACCAGCGGCGACCCCTGCAGCGAGTCGGGCCTCAACCTCCGAGAGGCCATGATGTCGTCTCGTCCCGGGACGCATCAACAACCCCTCCTCGCCCGATGTGAACTGCTCTCCCCGCAGCTTGTCCGTGGATGTCCCTGCGGCCTCGAGGACCAATGATCTCCTCGTCTCCGCTCGTGACAAACCAAGCATGCAGCCTGCCATCTGCAGGCTCGGACGTCCGGACCCACCCTCCGCAGCCTGCGTCTGAACAGGCGTACGTCCCGTGAAGACACCCCTCCCGGCGTCGTAATCCGCCCGCAACCGGTCCCCGACCCGACGAACAGCTGACCATCCGCCACCCACACCTCCTCGGACTGGCAGCGGGGAACCGCCACTGTGCGCAACTCCGGGTGCCACCGTCCGGTCCCTGGTGTCGACCCTGGCCTCCGGAGTCCGTGCGGGCGGTGGAGGCATCGATCCTGCACTATCTCTACCGCCGTCGCTGCGTCTGCCGGACCCCACCTCACCCGCACCGGACTCCCTCCCTCTAACGCCGCTGAGGGACGAACCCGACCAGTGAGGGCTCTGCACTGTGAACGGTGGCGGTGAATATACCCTCCCAGGGGCCCGCTGCTTACTGCTCTTGCGGCTCACGTGTGCGAAAGGGTCATCCGTCAACGCATGCGCCAAAGCGTCGGCGTCGAAGAAAGTGTGCGCTGTGTCGTCAGGGCGCAAGGGAGGCACTGTGGGGTCCCTCAACACCAAGGCGAGCCTATACGGATCATCCTCGGGACCGTGGTCGTCGTCATCGTCACCGTCCGGTCCATCGTCTCCACCGACACCCGCGGTATCCCCATCTCCACCGGGTCCACTCTCTCCTTTGCTGCACACTACGGCACCCTGTCCCTCATCAACCGCGGTCTCACTGTCGCCACGGCCCCCCACTAGGGGACCCACCGCCCATGACAACATCCTGCCGCTCAGGGACACCCGCGGTCTCCTCGTCGCCGCGTCGTCCACCACCTAACCCACCACCCGCGGCGGCATCCTGCCCCTCATAATCGAACTCCCCCTGAACCGCCTCCTCAGGGACACCCGAGTCGTCGACGTCACGGCTCCCCCCCCCTCCTGTCTCCAAGTCCCTCTGCCGACGCTGCTCGTCGAGATACGCGAACCGACCCTCCCACTGTGGCAAACTCCTCAGCCGCTCCTCCTCCTCTCGGTCCAAACAGGCATCCCTCTCCTCCTCAGTCTCAACAGGGCCCCGCTCAACGTCCGCGTCTGTGTGCACATCCTGCGGTGAGGCACGTCGACGTCCCTCGACACTGAAATCTCCCAAGCTCCCACCAAGCCCTATGTCCTCGAAGTCCTGTGTGCGGAGCACCAACGGCGAGCGGGGGCCGATACCGGCGTCGGAAGGAGTCCTCTCCCCCCCACGATCCTTGCCGTCATGGTGTCCGGTCTCTGCCTGCTGCCGACGCCAACCTCTCCGAACGCCTAAGTGCCTCGGGATGTGCAGAGATCGGATGATGGGAGGGAGAGAAGCGACGATCGCGAAGGGGCACGTCCTCATCCTCCGCCTCCCGCTCGGCCTCGATGTCGCTCCTAACCTCCCAACGCCTGCCTGTCTGCCGAAGACCTCCCCGTGGCTGCTGCTCCCCCGAGTCGTCCATGCGAACCTCCGCATGCGAACGTCCTCCAGGACCACCGCCGGCTCTGCTGCTGCCACTCGCCTGCGCAGTCGACGGCACACCACCAGTGATAACTGATGTGAATGAATCCATGTCGTCGCGACCCCCACTGTAAGTGAAGTACACTCGCTCAGCCGTCGGGTCACGACTCAGCGGCGTGTCATCATCGTCAATCCAGTCGTCGTCGATGTCGTCGTCGATGTCGTCGTCTGGCGCAGCAGCATCCACATCATCCCCACCCTCCGGCCACGATCGCAGCTCCGTCGCTCTGCTGCCGAACACGTCCCGAACCGAACGGGCTCTGGACGGTCGGCTGTCACGGAAAGCGACAATGTGCCGCTGGATCTCCTGCTCGAGAACACTGCCATCAGGCCGCGCTCCCCACACTTCGGGCTCCACATCTCCCTCCTCATCCTCCTCCTCTGCCGCCGTCCCCCCCCGACCAGTCCCCATAACCCATGGCAACACGTAGCCACCACCCTACCGTGCGCACGAGGCCAGTTTGAGATTGGTGGCAATCTCAACCAGCTGTGCAAGCTTGGCGAACCCAAGCTTGCAGCGCCTCGCCGTGCTGACGCGCTCGTGCTCCGCCCAGTTCCTCTCCGCTGGAGAGGCAGACGTCCACAAGTGCATGACACGGATGGCGATGGTGCGCAACTCCGGGTGGGCACGTCCATGCTCAAACCACCGTGCTGCACATCGCTCGGTCTCACTGTCCCCCCTGCAATCGGCCGCCTCGGCATCAGAGAGGTCACGATCTCCCCAATCCCTCGCCTCGAGTGGAACGCCCTCATCTCGTCCCTCACGCTCCTGTACAATAAGCCGACCGGATCGCCGCCGGTCTGCGCCAGGAGAAAATCTGTCGCACTCCTTGACCACACGGCGGTCGTCTCCAGCAAATGGTAATACGTGAGGGACCGTCGACGAGGGTTGAGGAGGTGGGCCGCGACATGTGCGGGCTCTAGCATGTGGAGGTTGCGGATGGCAACCTCACGCACGCACGGCTCGATCATGTCCGTCGGCACGTCAACCCTGCTCATCAACTGCAGCAGATGCAGACTCCACTCGTAAACGACGGACATCATCATCCCACCTCTATCCATCCTGCGCAACAGCTGGTGGACGGGCGACATGACTAGGATAACGTAATGGACACGCTGCCAAAACTCCCCGTCCCGGATCTGCTGTTGCACCCACTGCGCCTGAGATACGTGGGCGCGATCCCACGGGATGCGTGCCCAAGCATCCCCGTGCAACATGCTCTCCAATGCGCCGCGTCGGCCTTTGAGACACGTCAGCATCAGGAAAACCGATGCACGTCGTGTCTCAACGGGCTCGACGAGCTGAACGCGAGGGCTCACCTTCCTAAACAGGGTGTGAGCAGCGCCGTGCGATTTAATAAATCGCACAACCGCTCGAGCGCGGATGATGGTCTCCTTGACCCACACCACTCGCGTCCCGATATCTGACAACGTTAAGTTGCAGACATGGGTGGAGCAGGGGAGCCAAGTGATCCTCCTGATCTCGGGCTCGGGGTCTGTGGCGAACCTGCGCGCTGCCGCCGTATAGCTACTGGCGGAGTCTGTGCAGAAGCCGATCACATCCTTTGCAAGAAAGGACAAGATGATGGCCCGCCACCTACGGTACACAACGTCCGCTGTGTCTCGGACCTACCCGTCACGTGCGACGGTGGCGTACAGCAGGGCGCCATTGGCGCCCCCGGCGAGGAAGTTCACGAGCGGCTTGCCGCTGCGCGACTTCCTCCCGTCGGAAAGGATAGTGGCACCATTGTGCCGGAAAGTGGCGCGCACCTCACTCACCATTGTCGCCACCTTCGCCCTCTGCGAAGGGATACCGGCGCCCGCTGTAACCCTGTAGGAGGCGAGGCACTCTCTCTGCTGCCTGCCGCACCCTCTGGAACTCTGGACCACGGAAGGCGTTGAATGGCAACTTCTTCACGTAGATCCACTAAAGCCACCCGTCTGTGAACTCGGCCAACTTCTCCCTGGCGTACATCTCGTCAATCGTGGTCTGCCGAGCCCTCTTCTCCCTGCCCGTGTTTGGCACCTCGACGCCAGCCTGCCCCACTGTCCTCTTCTCCCTCCTCGCGCGCTCCACCTCAGCTCGCGGCGCCCTAGTAGCAGGACCCGCTCCACCGACGCCTCTCGACGTCATCACCACCTCCTCCCCTGGCAGGTTAGGCTCTCCGACTGCCTCGTCTGCCTCGTCTGCAACCGCCCCCTCCCCGGCCCCACCCTCGTGGCCCTCCTCCTCATCGAGGGCGTCCTGAATGTCGTCCCTCTCTGCGTCGTCCATCCGCTGTCTCTGGCCACCCGCGGGCGCTCTCGTGTCCCGTAAGCCCTCGTCTGCCATCCACCTCTGCACCCGCTGAGCAGTGGATGGCACAAATGTGTAGTCTGTGCCGTTCCAAAGTTCCGCGAGAACTCTTATCCCCCCAGCCTTGCAGAACTTTGACTGCGTAAAATGACGCGCGGCCTTCGACGATCCCCCCTGAAACAGGTGGCCGCATAAGTTGCAACGCAACTTTCGGTCCCCGTGCATCTTGGACTGGTCCCCGACATACTGGCCCGCGGTGACGAAGTTCCAAACAATGTTCCCTCGCCTCAACTTCGCCATTTCCTTCTCGGACAGCGGGTTCAATTGGGCACCCCCAGACCCCCCCGCACCGCTGCTCCCTGCACCCCCCG